CATTATTCAGGATGGGCTGGACGAGATAATATCTCTAAGTACTTTGCAGGACGCTCTACCACCAACTCAGCAGACACAGAAACAGGACTAACGTGGTTCTTTCCAGAACCTCATGGCTACTCCATACATCCTTGGTGAGGGCACAACCATGGCCTCCTTTCCTCACCCTCCTGAGAGCAACCAAGCCATCTGTGACCATTTCTTGTGCTGTTGAGAATGGCCTTAATTACTGCCATCCCAGGGGGAAAGGTTTCTTACACAGTAGACACCATTTCATTAGGAATTCATTTGGTACTACAGCAATTCAGGGGCATCTCACCTGCTGTGGGTTAACTCAGGACTGGACCAAAGCAGCAGGTTAAACTGGGAAAAGCTCTGCTGAATTCCAGTGCTGAACACTGGAATTTAGTTGCTATTTGAATATATGATACATTTGGAAATAACACATCTAGAGAAAAAAAAAAAAAAAAAAAAAAGAAAAACAGAGCAAACACACCCCAAAAATGATACAACCATCAAATGTCTGGATTAAAGAGCACAGGTGGCAAGAAATTTTTCTCTCCTTGTGTATGGTCCCTGGTGCAGATGCCTTGTTTTCACAACACTGATAATGAAAGCCTTTTTACTTTTGGATGTTCTGTAGGATACAGTGTAATACATCAAAATAAATCATTCCATCCTATGCCTGTTACAAATGTAAGCTGATGCCCCAAATGTCAAGGTGCTCACTTTGATTAATCAATTAATATTGCCAATTTTGCTAACAATGTTGAGGATAGGAACAGTAGCGAAGAGGGAAATGCTGGCTTGATGCAAAGATATAAATATATAGATTAAAAAAAATGATATGTTTGTATAGGTTTAGGGATAATATTCTTTCAAGAAAGAAGACATTTCCATGGTATATCTGAAGTGATGTAGATCTTTATGTACTTAAGGAAAAATATGACTTTTAGTACTAAATCAATCAGCTGGATCTGTGTTTTAGTAGATAAACAGCATTTTTTCCCCAAATTTTAATGTATTAAATGAATTCAATAATCATCATATTTGAAAAGACATTCATTTCAACTGCTGTGGAAAAAAAAAAACTTCTGATCAAATCAAGAGCATTAGCTTCAAGGCCACCCTTCTTCCTACGAGACAGGAAGTATCTGTGTGATAAATTAACTATGGGTGAATGCGAAGTCTTTAATGAGAAAAAACCATGCTCTGTTGAATTCAGCCTTTCATGTGAAAGATGTTTGGGACCTTACTGAAAAGAATGTGTTAATCAAGAGAAAAGCATAATTACTGTCTTGTCAACAGACACAAATGGGAAAGCCTGGTGTAAATGAGGTTGAAATTAACTCCAAAAAATACACAGAAAAAGATTTTTTCTGTAAGGATTTTGGAGAGCTTGCTTTACACTGCACGGTGATTTATGACAATTGGAATCTCACTATTTCTATAATTAATATTGCTGGATGCTTCCTATTCAGAGGAATGTTAATCATAATAATGCAAATGGAAGTATTATTGCAGCTATGCCTCAGAGTTCATATTTCATATTGAGCCAAAGGTTCAATATTCAGCATCCTTCTCAATGGAGCATTCACATTGTATGGATAGATGAATGTGCACCAAAGGTAAAATAACTGAATTAATATAAACCAGAATAATATGTCTGGCACAGAGCTTCCCATTTTCCCATTTTGCTGTAAGGTCCTGATTGTTCAGGCTTTTTAAACCAATAATAAATTATTGCAATGCACCGCTAATTGCACCTCACTGAAGTTGTGTGTAGTATAAATTGCTCTGGCGATGGACTTAGATTTAGTTTCTTGTGCTTATTTTTAGCAACTCAAAGGCAATTCATTTCCAGCTGGGCACGTTTAAAAGTTTATAGCGAAAAAATGTGTAATTACTTCCTAATATGAGAAGAATATTGGTGACAAACTTTTCATACTACATGTCTTTTAGCACAAAATACATTAATGAAAAAGGCAGATGTAATAGCAAATATGAATTTTGATATACGTTTAAACAATATGACAAATATTTGTAAATTTTGCTCCTGCGAATACTTTCCAAATTTTCTTCTTAATGTTTTCTAATTCCCTCTACACTCCCTTACATCACTTCTTAGCTCATGACTGGTTTCTTTATGACTGCTGATGTTCCTGGAAATATATGATCCTTTTCCTTTTTCCTTCTTCTTTTTATGCATGTATGTGTGTGTTTTGTTTTTTTTTGTAAGTATTAATTGGTGGTGGGGTGGAAAACAACAGAATGATCATCATCATTTTTTTTAATACTGCTGGCTTTTATTAAAAACACATAAACTTGAAGTTTCTGAGAATATTTTACTGTTGATTCAGAAGCATTAACTAACCTTTCACAAAGTAAACAACCCAAGTAAATTAAGACCATACTACAAATGTTTTTCCTAGCCCTTTCCTCTGTAGCAGAGAAGTGCTTTTTATTTTCTTCTGGAAGGAATATAACTATCATATTAAAGCTGTCACATCAGGATGTGACAGTAAAGGAAGCTGTGCAGACAGATAGGGTGAGACCCTACATTTTGGGGAACAGAAAATTGCAGTAATATGGCAGTGACTGGAGCATAAATGCCCATGACATTAGTATCATTTTGTTGGGTAAAGAGAACAGTTCTTAACAAGGGAAAACATTTTAAAGGTTGAAGATCTGGGTTCAAATCCAACACAAATTTCCTGTAAAACAGGAGTTTTAGTCCAGGTTTTCAGAAATACCTCAGCACCCAGCTGAGAGACGAGGTGCCTGAATAACTTTCAGGACCATATCCTAAGGATATTGCTGTATGTCTTATTCTATAACCCTTAGTCTGGATTAAGGGTTTATATGCTCTAGGTACCTGATGTTCCAATTTTTGGCATTGCCTTGCACCTTGTCACGTTCAGTCTTTCAAAGTAACATTCAAATAGCGATACAGATATGTAGATATAGCTATTTAAGCATAGATTCTCAAGAAGAGATGAACTCAGTTAAATGTTCCATTTTTTTGGGTTATTCCAGAATATGCAGGTAGTTATGGCACAGTAACTTCCACAAGAGAAGCGTAGGTGCAAAAGCAACTTTAACCTTTTAATTTGTAACCACAACTGCTAAAGCAACACAGCCAACCTCCTTATTCTCTCTGTGCTAGAAGTTATTGACAAAAGTAGTAATAATATCACTTCTCTACCTTGATGAGAAGTTTGAAAATATACATATTTGAATAGTGAGAAGCATAGATATTATGGTGTTGAGGGACCATATTTGTACCAGAGTCCTGAGAAAGGAGAAGGAACAATTTATTCTCACCTCTTCATCATTTTCAGATCTCTCAGAAAAGCGTTCTGGTGGGTGATGACCTTTTCTGCTTTTGTTTTCCTTCTCATTGAAGTGAACGTCAGCAAGAGAGGAGATTCATAAAATTAATTCAGATTGGCTTAGATAAGGACCCTGTGATGTTGATTAAAAACCATCCACAGGGCCATTAGCAAAGTGAGATAATAAATGAAAATGTATTGCATTGCATGAGTTTTCTAGTGGGGGAACATCAGCGAGCAGTTTTGAGTCCAGTCGTCTTTAAACATCTTCATTCATTAGCCAAAAGACAAGAAAAAAGTACGTGTTAATTAGAATCACAGATGATCCAAATTGGGAGGTATTGCATAAATCAGTGAAGATAGATTAGAAACCTTAAGCAGGAAATGACAAAATGAGATGCAGCTTTGAAAAATGCATGTTGGGGAGAAATAATCTGTACCAGGACACAATCAGCAGTGAGGAGGGTTGTTCAAGAAGAGAAATTAATGGGAGGAAACTGAAGGATGTGGCCTATGGAGTAAAGGGCAATCTAACAGCGCAGCTATTTAAAGGCAACCTTTGCACCTTTTCAGTGGAGAGCTTGGATTTAAAATTCATTTACAATTGGCAAGATTAAAAGGTCAATGTAGTTTTGGACCGTATATGCAGAAACAGGTTGCCAAAGAAAGACACGAAAGCCCACCTCTATAATAGCCTGCTACCACATCATTCATGCTTATTAATTTTAATCTTCTTCCAATTCTGAAAGACTCTGTGCACTAGAATACATGAAAAATGGATTCATATCAAGCAAAATGGGTAGCCTGGGAAAGCTGCTGGCCCTCGCAAATGTGGCTTTCGATGAAACCACCCCCATCAAGCTACCACAGTCTCTTGTCCACCCCCTCAGTCTCCATGGGACTGTGTCACCCTGAGACAAGGAAAGGAGAGGGGGCATGAGGCTAATCAGCTAACGACAGATGTAAGAGAAGAGCAGAGCCCTGGTGCTGCGTTGCAAATGCATTAGTGTGGGCCAGCTTCCAAGGGAGCCACTTTCTTTGAACCTCCTGCTTGTGGCAGGGCATATTTTTCACACAGGAGTCATTACTTTTAAGCTGGGGCTCTTCAACACCACAAGCAGCTCAGATAAGACAGAACTTACTGATGTGAGTGGAAATGATGAGAAGCTTTTGTCTAGGACCTTAGTCATTTCACTTTAACAGAGGTAATAGATTTAAGGAAGGAAATATTTGGGGTGATTACATAAATAAAAAATAAATTACAAAAAAATATCTTTCCCCTTCTGAGGACTCTAAAACCACACAGAACAGGAAAGGAACAATCACCACGTTACTCAGAAGCCCTTGAAACTACAATAGAGGAACTGGTAAATTACTCCCTTGGCAAAGGGATGGATATTTGCACAGTTAGCCAAGGACAGGCATTTAATTCTAAGTGCTGTACAGAAAGCCTTAGTTCATATTTAACAAACACATTTATTTCCATGGAATGAGTAAGCATAACCCAGTACAGTGCTGATGTGACATTGCACTAGGAATCGTGAATGTATAGGTGACTGTTTTATGTGCCTAACTATAGAAAGTTATTTTAATTCATTCAGCATAGCAAGTAAATTTAAAAAGCGCTTAACAAAACACTGACTTTTTTGTTTGTTTGTCTTTTGACAGGTAGACTGAGAATAACACATGTCCAGGTTAAAACTGTATCCTACAAGAAGTATTTGATGGATTATTCCTAGATATTTCTCAGAAGGTAAATACAAAAAGTGAGTACTAATCCCAGTATCTGGGATGCTTTAATTATGCTTTTATTATGACAGTTATAGTGTTTCTTGTACAGATTTCTCTGACTGGAGTCATGAAGAATTTCACTGATTTCTTTAGAATATATCTACTATTGTTCTGAGTTTAGCATTGTTATCTGATGTTGATAATTTTCACTGATGTCAAAATGTGAGTCCCTTTCAAGGAGTCATTTTTTCATGAAAATCTGTACTACGCACTATAGAACATAGAAACGTATGGGCATGTGACAGGATGCTGGCATTGTCCTCTCTGATGGAGAAGGAAGGTTGCTTGTGCTCATGGCTAGGACTCCTCAAACTGAAAGAAAGCAACATTACAGCTGCTGAGCACACACACACAAAAATAGAGAAAGTAGAGAAGTAGAACCATGAATTACAGAATATCTGAGGTTGGCAGAGACTTCTGGAGATTGTCTAGTCCAATCACCTGCTCAAAGCAGTGTTACCTAGAGAAGGACACTGAGGGTTGTGTCCAGCTGGGTCTTGAATATCTCTAAGAATGAGGAATCCACAACGTCTATGGGCAATCTGCTCCAGTGTTTGACTGCTTCCCTGTAAGCAGTTTTTCCACTTCTCAGATGGAATTTCCCATATTCCAGTTAGTGCCGATTGCTTCTTTTCTAGTCACTGGGCACCACTAAGAAACATCTGGCTCCATCTTTTTTAACCCCTTCCCCCATCAGCTTTCATGCACATTCATAAGAGTATGCATAAGAGTGTGCATTCATAAAAATCTCATTCTGAGATTTTTCTCCTAGGGACTAAACAGTTCCATCTGACTTATCCTCTCCTCAAAAGAGATGCTCCAGTCTCTTAGCTTCAAGAGTGCGTTGCTGGTTTATGGTCAGCTTGCCAGGTCCGTTTCTGGCAAGTTGCTTTCCAGTTGGTTGGTTCCAGCCTGTAGTGGTACCTGGGATTACTCCTCCCCTGGGGCACAACTTGACATTTTCCTTGGTTGAGCTTCAGGAGGTTCCTGTGGGCCCATTTCTTCATCCTGTTGAGGTCCCTCTGACTGGCAGCACAACCCACAGATGTATCAGCCACTCTTCTCAGTTTTTCATCCCCTGGAACACTTATGGGTTCAGTCTGCCTCATCCATGTCATTACTGTGAGAATTTAATATATCGGAGGCAGTATCACCCCCTGGGGTATGTCACCAGTGAGTAGCCTGCAGCTGGGCTTTGCGCTGCCGATCACAAATCTTTGAGGATGGCAGTTCAGGTAATTTTCAGTCCAACTCACTGTCCATTTATCTGGACCATACTTCATCAGTTTATCTATGGGGATGTTATGGGAGACAGCATCAAAGCATTACTAAAGTCAAGATAAACACCATCTACTACTCTCCCCTCATCCACAGAGCCATTCATCTTCCTGCAGGTTGGCTAAGCATGACTCCCACTTCATAAATCCATTCTGACTACTCCTAATCACTCTCTTGTCCTTCATATACTTTGAAATTATGTCCAGTATTATTTGCTCCATCACCCTGGGGAGGTGACCAAGATGAGGCTGACCAGTCTCTGGTTCCCTGAATCCTCCTTTTCCACTCCCTGAAAATAGGAGTTACAGTCTTCAGAAACCTTCCTTAGTTCTCACAAACCTGAGAGGAGAGGAGGAGGAGAACTTTTAACTGGCAGTTTTGGAATCACTGTCTTTAGATGAAAAGTCCGTGTTTTGGGACTTTGAAAGGACAAGAGGACAAATAGAATGGTTGGAGAGAAAGGGACAAAACAGGGTAAATGGAAGGTTCAAGAAGAGAGACTAAGAAGGTGTTGCAACTCAGATTAAAGAGTATGACAAGGCAAACAGAGAATAGGAATGGAAAGAGAGGCATAAGGGGAGTCTTGTTGTATTGAAAGAAACTGGTAAGGTCCTGTACATAGAGTGAGGTGGAGACAGAAAGAATGAGGGTCCCCAAGGACAGAGTAGAGATCGAACAAAGTTTTCAGAAAATGGAATTAAGGCTGGAAAACAAGAGTGGATTTTAAGTGGGAATTAGGATGGAAGGAAAGAATGAATTAGCAGTGGAGAAAGATGGCCTGATAAGATTTCCCCCCAAGGATGCTTCAACTCATGAGAGAAATAGCCAGGTGTGTGGATATTTGGATAATGGATACTGAGACCTAAAATAAGAGTCTAGTAATCCAGTCTTCCTGTTCAGGCAGTGGGAGAGCACTGCATCTCTTTAAAATATGTAGTCCATTCTGCACAGGATTTGCTCATAGAGAAGTCTCTCCCTCTCTTTCCTTGTAAACTACTGTCTGGGGCAACCAGGTGCTGAATTACACATGGCCATTGTTGAAAGCTAGAAGGGATGAATACAGGCATTAACATCCCTAACCCTTATTTCTCATCTGTGACATGGGGTCAAAGTTTCCCTTCAATGCTTATCTTCTTTCTTTAGATTTTAAGAGCTTTTTATGTGGAAGGTGTACAAACAGCATCTAGCACTACAAATGAAGGCTAGGACATCTACAGGCTTCTGCCATATGCAGAAGCAGAATGTTCACCTTACCTAGAAAGTCTTGATGGAGAGAATCAGAGAATAGAATAATAGAATCATTAAGGTTGGAAAAGACCTCCAAAATCACCTGGTCCAACCATTCTCCTACCACCATTACCCACTAAGCCATGTCCCTAAGCACCACATCCAACCTTCCCTTAAAAGTCTGTTAATAAAAAATCATAGAATATCCCAAGTTGGAAGGGACCCATATGGATCATCATAAGTATGGTGAAAGAAGTTCTGAAACTCATAATCCTGAATATAAAATTATTTTAAATGAAATCAATGCATAACTATGTTGACTAGCAAAATGAAAAGGGAGTGGTTAGTGAACACCTGTGCTTTAATCACCAGCTCTATACAAATACTGACATAAATAATAGGAGGCAGTTCCCAAAACATGATAACTCTGCCTGCAGGTTATGTCTGGGAGTACATATTTGTTTACTCTCTGGGGAGGAACCAGTTTCTTCTATATGGAGTTAGATTGTTTCTCTCCATAATAACAATGATCACTATGAACAAACTGAGAATTCAATTTGTCTTCTATGTATATAGGGCTGATATATATGCATATCTAGCTTACACAAATTAATTTTATAGTAGGTTGGGATTTAGGTTGATTGGAAGTATTAGGGCTAGCATGACCCGAAATGTATCTGTAGCCAGCATTCACAAAGCTGAGTTCTGAATAAGATATCACTCCAGAAGAGAGACTATGCATCAAAGAAAAAGAAAGTATGAAAAATTAACAGAAAAATCAGTGTTTCCAAAGTCAGTTCCATGTTACATGGTAACAATATAATGAGGTGACAACCTGCAGCAAACTGAATTCAGAGAGGAAAGGGAGAGGAAATCTCTAAAATAAAACTTCCCAAATTGCTGGTAGTCACTGAACATGACAAACTCTGTTTACTAAGGGATATGTAAGTTCACAGGGCATATCTAGATGACTTTTTATTGAAGGTGAATTATTATTGCCAACATAATCAGAAGAATAATTTAAAAAAAATTGCTACTCTTTTTTGCTTAACATTGATGAATTTAATAACCTTGTTGCTGCCAGCATAGCTGGTTGGTGACAAAAATCAGAGGGACAGTAACAGACCCCAAATAAATTATTTTCTGTGGAATCACAGCATTTTTTCCTAGTTACGTCCAGCTGGGCAGAGGAGCCACCCATGCCAGCTGTGTGGCAATCAGGTCTGCACCCCAGGGAGCCAGTCCATAACCCCCAGCAAGTACACCATGCTGTTTCTTGGTCCAGCTCCTTGCTGAGCAGAATTCAGCTGAACTGAGCTGGCAAAAGGCAATGCACACAGAAAATGAGTACAAGAAGTACAAATAATAGGTGCTATTATTTCACTGTCTCAGTAAAATGAATAAAATGCCTCGGGGTAGGTAGAGTATTTCTCAGGGTGCTTTTCAGCCAACATCTTTGCTTTGGAGCAGCAAACATTGATCTGGAAACAGGCTGATTCCCAGAGTTGCTGCTCATCTGCAGCTCTCAAAGGCAACTGAGGTTCATTGCTGAACGTCAGACTATTTTTACTCAGGTGAGGAAAGATGTTATTAGCTGGCTGGCATGAGGTTCCCCAACCTGAAAAGACTTGCTGTTGTTGTTGGCTTTCATGCCATTGTACTACATCCTGTGCACTCTTCTCTTCTCCCATCTATTTTCCTATCAAACCACAAAGCAACCTGCATGTATTTTGGCATGTTTACAAACAAACTCTTTTTATGAATATAAGTTTTTGGGAAAAAAAAAAAAAAGTCATAAAAAATCCCTCTTTGCCAGCTAATTAGGAACTGTTGTGTAATGTATACATCTCATCTAATTTTCTTAAGTCTCCTGTTTTCTTAGCCTTGATCTACCTGTCACAGGATCCACATGATGCATTTTCTCATTTACATTATAAATCCAAGATAAGTGCCTTTGCCAACTATTATAAATGTATATCTATTTACAGAGCAGCTAACATGTTGGGCTAGTGATGCACTTGAAGCCCCCAGGTGCTACAGATATAAAGATGTTATATAATAATAGGGAGCAGCTCATTCTCCTACAAGGCATCTTGTTTCAACCCACAATACAGAGAGACATTCATTAAAAAGGTTCCATTCATTTAAATCAATCTGTCATGCAATGTTAATTAAGCATTAATTGATACTTATTTCTCTAAGGCACCAGATCATCATTTCTCTTGAATAACCCCTGAAGTTTGGCTCACAATACTGGAGGAAGAATGGAATGGGCTTGTCTTTGTGACTACTAGAGGCATCATTTATTTATTTGTGCATTCATTCACTTATTCATTTTTGCTCTCAAGTGCATCAGTCTCCATAATCCCCTCCCCTCCCATTATTTGCCAAAGGAGGAACTGGCAAAACAATAGAAAGGATGTAATTAGTAACTTGGCTGTGGGGTGCATGGAAGGGTGGGCATAGAAAC